AAAAGATCCCAATTGAGTGCATACCATTGTCTAGATTACTTGTGACGTAATCTGTCAATTGGTGCAAGGCATCATTGCATGATCTCTTAGGCCTAAAACCAAATTGTCTGTCTGACAGCAAGTTGTTAGTTTCCAGGTATTTTATTAATCTGGTATTTATGATCTTTTCTAAAATTTTAGATAAGCCAGATAAGACTGAAATCGGCCTATAGTTACTAACTAAGTTTTTATCACCAGCTTTGTAAATAGGAGAAACCACTGCTTTTTTAAGCACTTTCGGGAAAATACCATTTGCTAGGCATAATTGAAAGATATGTGTTAACGGGGCGGCCAGTAAATGTTTAAATCTTTTGAGTATGCGATTAGGTATATTGTCCCATCCAACTGCACAATCTTCTTTTAAGCCAGATATTATACTTAAAATCTCATCAATATCGGTATTTAACAATACAAAAGAATTTAACTTAGAAAAGGGTGTGGGCATAAAAATTGGATTACGAGTGTTGCTTAATTTTAAAGTTGTCTCTGCTATTTTTTTTGCCAACGTTAATAAAATAATTATTTACTTTATTAGTTGCTTCGTTTGGGCTTTTGTCTAATGACAGTAGATCAAGTGGGGGTCCAAGATTTTTTGAACTGAAGGTATTATTTTTAATGAACTTCCATACAAGTTTACTGTTTTTACCGGCCTTTTGTAAAACATTTTTATCATATTGTATTTTGAGGTTTTTTAATAGTTTATTGCAAAAATTCCTATATCTTTTATAAGTAGCAGAAAGTATTAAATTATCAGGAGAAAGTTTAGATTTTAAATGAAGTTTGTCTCTATTTCTTATACAGCGGACGAGACCAGGTGTTATCCAAGGTTTAATATTATAATACTTACGTGACAGTTTTATTGTTGATGTATTATTCATTATTGCGTATTGTAAAGAATTTATAAAGTAACTCAAGGACGTATTTGCATCGTCAGAGCAATAAACAAAGTCAAAATTAATGCTGCGAATGTCATTTTCAAGGTTCGTCATATGAACTTTAGTGTAGTTGCGTATGCAGTTTTTCCTAGGTAAGGCTAATTGTAATGTTAGTAAAATTGCTTGATGATCAGTAAGCGAGGAATTAGTAACTAATGTTAAAGAAGGGTTATTTGATTTAATCACAAAATGGTCTAAACAAGAGCCGCTTTGATGTGTAGGGTGGTAATGTGTTGGTAACAGCCCATGAAAAGAGCAAATATTTAGGTAGTTATGTGCATGGTTATCTGTTTTCCCAGGGGTAATGTTAATATTTATGTCACCGGTTAGGATTATATTTTTATATGTGCTAAATTTGCTTAAGGTAATATCAAGGGACTCTAGAAATCTATCAATATTTTGTGAAGGAGGTCTGTAAACTGCGATAACAATCGTCTCGGAATTAATTCGAATGATTAAGCAATTACTATCCTGGAATGTAGGTTCTGTGACAGTTACTTTTAAATTATTTTTAACATAGATTACTAAACCGTCATTTTGATTAATGTTTTTCTCGGTTTTGTGTAAAGAATAGCCATTTAGAATCGGTAGGTGGGATGGGAGGTTTGACAGCCAACATTCTGTAAGGATAATAATATCACATTTTATATCCAGTCTATGCAACAAAACTTCAAACCCGGTTATATTCCGATTTATACTTCTAATATTTTGTGTAAGTAAGATTAACTTATTTTCAGGACGTGGAAGGAAGTGTTTACAGTCATCAACATTACATGTTTTGGCGTCAGACACAGAAAAGTTGTCTAGGTCATTGAGTAATTGATTCGCCATACTTAAGCTTAAAGATAAACTAAAACTAGTGTAAGAGCTAAGTAAATAATATAATACGCGGCGCTCTTAGGCGCCCTCATAGTCTATGGAGTTGATATATTTGTCCTCTGCGAATTTACGTGCTGGACAGCTTTCCTCACCAGTTTTGTGGTCGCATTTTCTTTTAAAACGTTTACACGTTGTGCAAACGGGGGCATGCGAGCTGTTATTACATTCCTTAAAGGAATGCCCGAGCTCTCCACAGTAGTTACATGTAGGGCTACTTTCCCAACAAAATTTGGCTGAATGACTAAACTGCTGGCAGTTGAAGCATCTTGTTACTATTGTAACTACTATTGTCTCTGACTGGGCATGAGGTCCAATTAATATAAATTCGTCCTTGATTGATAAGGGCCTTCCTGATGCTAGGTGACACTTCGACAATGTAATTACAGGTAGGAAGGTTTTTCTTACCTGATTTATGGCTCAGTTTGACTGTTGCCAGGAAGGACTCACGCGTGGCATTGGGAAATTTATCGGCAATATTTTGTTCGAAAATGCACTCGAACACTTCTTTATCCGTGAGGGCTACAGGGACACCAACAATTGCAATCCTTGGACGTCGTTTAGTCGGTTCTTCCATGGTAAGGCCAGAAGATACAAGCTTCTCGGAGTTCTTTAATTTGTCGATATCTCCTTTTGTCTCAGCGCTAATTATAACTCCCCCATTTTTGACCTTCCTCATGCCTCGGACATGTAGTTTGAGTTCTTCTGGGGATATTATTTTTTGTAAGAGGCACTTCGTGTCATCACTGGATTTGGACTTGACCCTCGGATTAATTGCTAGGGTACTAAGGTTGTTTGGGCGAATGAGGGTTTGGCCACCTTTTTTGACCATGTCCGCAAAAGTGGTTCCAGAGTCCGGTTTTGATGACTCTTCGATACTATTCTTGAGTTCCTGCAGCTTTTGGGACAGGTCAAGTTGTTTCTGCAGAGATACGATGGAGGTCTGGGCTTTAGTGGCATCCATTTTGAGGGACATGTACTGGACTACCAGTTGTGATGTACCGTGGCTTACTTTTCGACAAAGCGAGCTAATGCGCATTTTTTGATCAGAGTTAAGTTTTCCCTCTGTAGCGATGGAGCACACCTCGTTAAGGCACAGGTCAATGCTTGTCATCCAATGCTGCAACTCAGGAGTTGGAAGTGTTTTAATTGTTTGGTTCGCTTGAAGTGGGTGTCTGCATGGGCGGGGTTGATGGAGGCGGGGTGCGAGTGGTCCTGGCACTCCGGTTGAAGGGACTGTTCTCCATTTTAGTACCTATTCTAGATAAAGCTAAAACATTTCAACAAAAGTCACTAACACAAATATAACTAAAGTATGACACAGTTACTTCCGGTATTGTTATAATGAGGTCACGGCTAAGCACATACTTATTTAATTATTTTAATTACTATATGATACGTCTGTACACAATAACGCGCACTTACCAATATTCATAAGTGATTGTATTCGCTAAATAAAAAAAAAAAAACGGTAACGCAATTCAACAGAAGAGTAGAAACAGAAGCGTAGTTTGACAGCAGTTTGACAGTGACGTTGGATGGAATTATACTTTTTTACTCGGGGACGACGCGAGCAAAGAAAATATTCACATTCATGCCGTGGTGTGACGTCACCGACGTATTTTTAATTTTTAATTTTTTTCTCCAAAAATATTATTTTTAAAAATTTCAAAGTATTTTTCCTGAATTCTCCAGAGGTTAATCTCGAACTGGTATTTTTTATTTTAACAATTTATTTTTTGTCGTATTGTCCATTTCAACGAGGATACCTTGTTATTTCTCGTTTTTTGTAATACTCCTCGTAAGGAAAAACTGATAAATTATTTAAGTAGTCAATTGTTCAACATTGTTGACCTATATTTGTTTTCTATCTACGACATCCTGCAGAAATAGCGTTCTGCTTCATAGCTAGTGCTTGACAACGTTAAAAATATCTATAAGATAGTAAAGCAATTTGGGAAATAATCAACAAGTTTCTTTTCATTAATTAGCATAAATATTTAAGTTGCAGTAAGCAAGAAGTGTAAGATTCGAGCTTAGACTTTAGTAAGGTTTTTACCGAATTCACTCATTTACTAAATGTTCGTCTACGTCATCTGGATAATAATCAATAACATTACGTAGGTACACTTTCCAGATCTTTTTTCATTATGGTTATCTTGCAAATCCATTAAAACTTTGAATTTCTTACTACATACCTCATAGACTTGGCATCTTCTATTTAAATCGTTTAGCGTTGCTCTTTGAACATTTTGACTCTTTTGACTTGAACTGATTTTGAAGTAATTTGTCTCCTGTTTATGTCATTGTATTCTGCTCCTACTCAAGTATTTAAATTTTTAGCTTTCTCGTCGTAAATCTTTAATTTTAGATTAGATTAGTGTCGTGGGTTACTCATGAACTCTTTTAATGACGTAACGAACGCAAAAGTTCACAAATATCCTTTTTAAAATTTCTTCCAAGATATTTATATCGAGTTGGGTGCGGGCGATCTTATAGTGTTGGAATGTTATAGCTTTAAAAAAGGAGCACCCTTTCTGCAATATGGGTGATCATATAATTATTTTATCCAAACACAACGGCAATTTATTTTTGCTTTCCAAATCCTTATTTACATATTTTAATAGCGCCTGATATATTGCAATTACAATGAACTGTAACGAATGCTATTATAAAAAATATGTGTATTAGTTTAAATGTAATTATTAAACTTCAATAAAGAAAAAAATTGCAGCTTTTACAGACTAACTTATACAATTTGGATAAAGTATGTAATAAAGTAGCAAAAACGTGACGAATACGGCATTCGTGTACACCACACTTTTAGTCGGGTCAAAGTTCTATGGAGATTCTGGCATAGTCATTTAAGATGCAAGAGGAATAATTTATTTAATAGTTATACATATTTTGTGGTGTGCTGGTATCTTATGATACAGGATTCATTTATAGTCAGGAATTGGAGCATCACCTTGTTTGTATGTAATAACTTTAAAAGTTTTATTAAAATCAATATAGGTATGTATTAATAATAGGATTAAAATAATAATTATAACGAGTTAATAGAATGATTTATTATAATATCATCAAGTTTACAGATCAATATACGTGGATAATATCAGTAAAGGGTCAATTTTAACCCACCGCTGTATGTTAGTAATCTGATGGAGTCAAATTAGCCATAACTTCTCGGGAGAGGTCTTTGTATACAATCGCAATTTTATCTTGTACCTGCTTCATAAGTTCCTCCACGTCGTCTAGATTAAGACCTTTTGTAGGTATGGGTTCCAAGCATTGAATAACGATATGACCTACAAGAATTTTTAATACAATATGAAGTTTAATCTAAAAAACCTATATTATTCACATATAATTGGATTTCGAGTTCGTATACTCGTATTTACATATATGAGATCAATCCTCATGTATCTATACAATACGCATGATCCTTTTTTCTCCTTGCATAATCGTCTATCTAGCTTCAAGGATGTTATATTACATACACTAAAACACAATCAGTCGAATTAAGTACTTGGAGCAAGTCATTTTTAAGCTAGAGCGAAAGTATTGCCATTTTTGCCTCTAACGGCTCGGCGTGCAAGCAATCCATGCATGCTATGCTGACACTGTTTTCGCAACAATTTTCCCAGATTTGCAAATCCAAGCGAAACATTGATTTATTATTTAATAAAATGTATGATAGCGTTATCTCACAATTTCGAATACGACACATGAAATAACTCTAATTTTACGGATTTCATTGCGCTTAATTTAAACTCTTCAATTCCCGACTCGGTTGCTTGCTGCTCAATTATAAAAATGTTGCGTTTTTCCTCAAAATTCTCATTTCTCCTTTACCGTCAATATTAGAAACTAGTAAATAAATTACAGAAAGAGATAAGAATATAAAAAACTCCGAGTAGAATTTTATTCTGACAGGGATACCTACAATAATTAGCAAATGCTCAGAAGATTTAGCAGGAGGCCGTTAACATGAAAAACTAAAAAGGAAACTACAATCTAAGATCGCCACGCCCATCGTCATTGTTCGTGTGATTATTTTTTATTAGACGAAGGAAAGAAGAATATTAAGAAGGAGGTAAACAGAGCTTGAGCCAAGATTCACAAATTAAAATGACGTGAATATTTTGAAAAAAAAAATGACGCAAACATGTCAGAATAATGACGCTTTTGTCGTTAACGTACTTAGCTTTGAAGTTTTTCACACATAATCATATTCATATTTAATAATACAGTAGCTCATAGCTCCGCTAGGTTTTGATAGTCAGCGCTACAGTCAAGTTATTAATGAATTCCATATTTATGTATAAAATGACTTATCTATATATATTGTTACGGAACAAACATTTTGAATTTGAATATATTGTGTTGGTTTAGTTTTTGGTACCTTTGGCCGAGTGATTTATAAATAGTTACATTGCAAAAAGTACGAAGTGAATTCAGAATGAACAAGTCAACGCACTACCTTACGGAAAGGGCAGTACAATATCTGACCTCAGTAACACATATATATTATAATGATAAAAATAGATATTCTTAAAAAAATATATGTGCATTTTCTTACCATTTTTAAAAAATTCTTTTTCTTTACTTATAAAATAATATGGTGAGAATACAACAGGTATGACTGGGACTTGAGCAGTAATGGCCATTTTGAAGGCTCCCTTTTTGAATGGTAATAAGCGTGTGTAATCTTTATTACGTGTGCCTTCGGGAAAAAACCAGATTTTCGCCTAGAATAATTAATTTAATGGTTAAAATACAATGAACAGTATTTAATAAAAAAAATTACGTTTCCGTATATGTATAAAACGAGTATATGGCTTGTGTTTCTTTAAACCGAACAGTTGCAATTAATATTTTAAGTAAAAACAAATCAGTAAAAACCTTTATTAAAATTGATATTTGTTTTCGTATTTTGGAGTTACGAGAACATTATTACAGAAGCATAATACATGACAAGTTAGGCACGGGCCTCTTTCATTGTAGAAAGAACAGCTGTATTATTGACATTTAGAAGGCGATTGGTGGCCATATTATCAGACGACTTGGATACGATTATCATCTTGTGGAAGTCTGCTACTCTCCCCGTATTTAGGGAGATGTCAGGGAGAGTAACAGAGATCCACTCACTGAACTCATGGCATCTTTAATAATACATTAAATCAATTATTAACAATAATTTATCATTGGAAGATCCTGGATCATGCCTTATGTCTTATGGAGGCACCATTGAATTTAGGAGGGTACATTTATTTCTAAATTATACCTTATATTTCTTTACCTTTCCTTTTACCATAATGTCTGTAGTAGTCTGAAGTTGATAATAAGCCCGTTCAGGATTTTTTCTGTCTATAAAAATAAATCCGGCAAAGTAAGCTGCTACCCCAAGCGGCACAAAATACCATATTTCCTTTTTCATAACGACCGTCAGTTTATTTACGTTTTCCCAAATGTATACCATTCCTAAAAATAAAAGGATAATAAATGGTTCTTCTCGTCTAACGAGCTAAAATTAAATGGAATGGACACATCGAACGAATTTTAAGCCCTCATATACATTGTCACACCCTAGTAAGTATTACACTAGCTTTCCTAACATAATATTTTATGAGTACATATAGGTTTTCCACTTTGCCCGTTAATTTTAAATTTGTTTCCCAGGTTATGTTTATTTTGTTTAAGTTTTGTTTCTGTTGTGCAATAAGTTTAAAGATTGTAATTTGTAGGTTTCCTTTTATGCCTTGAAATTATTTTTGGTAGACACAACACTATTTCTGACTTCAAGCAGCAGTGCTCACATTGTTGTGTTCCACCTGGAGGGTAAAAAAGAGCCAGTGTTAATTGTACAGGTTGTGGGAAATTCCATCTGATCCCCGGAGGTGACACAGAGCTGATATCTGTCGGGGTCTTTTTGGTTACAGTAGGTTGCAGGCATCCACGGCTTGCAGTACCTACTTACCACCAGGTGCACCGTCGTTTCGGTTGACATCTTAATTTTATAAAAACAACGTAAGACATTTGTTGTATGTCAAAATACAGTTTTTTGAATTTATTAAAAGTTGACTGCTAACAATAAATCTTCTATGTAGATGTTTTTGGCATACATACGATTTTGCAGTAGTTGCAGTTTATAACATTTTCACTATGCAGAAATATTTTCAGTTGTTATCAGGAAGATGTTGCTGCCTATCTCCTGTTTCAGTTTCCCTCTGTAGCGTCTTACAAAACCTATGTGATGATATGGGAAACTAGATATATCACGCATGGACCTCTTAGCAACTTAATCAGTCAACTGCCATTAGATATGATGTAAAAGGAACACCATATCAAACCGGAACTCAGCTGTTTGGCCCCAGAAAGAGGGAGGAAAATATCGAAAATCATATAAAACGATTAAAAAAATGCGTACCCAAAGCATCAAAAGTCGATTGATGGTTGGAAACAATGACGGCTCCATGTTCGTCAGCTAAAATTTCGGTTCTACGTAACTCCCATTTTACATCATACAGTTTAGTAATATGTTTAAAAATTCCCGCGTAATACCTGTAATTCATTTAATCAAAGTAAAAACGTAGGTCTCTACTCCTAGGTCAATGATTTCAAAAGGAAGGATAGGCCCATCTAAATATTTTACTCATAACTTTTTCATACAAGAAAAAGTAGCGCATCTGTCATTATACAAACGTCATATTAAAACACCACGTAACCAGGGTGGAAATAGAAATAGAAATAGAAACTTTTTTATTCAATGTAGATTATAAAAATACTTATTGAAAGTCACTTTTTAAATTTACCACTGGTTCGCAAAAAAAAAAACCTCTGTCCTGGGAAGAACCAGCAAGAAACCCAGCGGGACTATTTTTTTTAATAGCTTACAATCATGTTTACAATCAACAACACAAGACAAATTAGAAATAGCTTGGTAGCGATCACCCTTCCCAGGGGTTATTATCATCTATAAATTCCTTAATATTATAATAACCCTTCTTATACATACTTAGTTTAATAACATTTTTGAACTTTGTGTATGACAACTTTTGTATATTTTCTGGGATTTTGTTGTAAAAGCGTATACATCGCCCCAAGAATGAATTACTGACTCGGTGGAGTCGAGTAACTGGTACTACCAGCTTGTGTCTGCTCCTAGTATTTACAGAATGAATATCACTTATTTTCGCAAAACTACTTTTATTTTTGTGTACGTACATTACATTTTCATAAATGTATTGAGAGGCCAGAGTTAATATATTAATTTCCTTAAATTTTTGTCTCAGTGACTCTTTTGGTTTTAAATTATATATTGCTCTAATGGCTCTCTTCTGTAAAATAAATATAATTTCAGTGTCAGTCGCGTGTCCCCATAGCAAAATACCATATATGGGGGAGCCATTGAAGCTTTGCGTCCAGTGTGATTCCAAGAAAAATGGTGGTATCAACAAGACTCAGTTCCTCCCCATTTAAAATTACATTAGTATTGACATGTTATCATTAGGAGTTACGAATTTCGTTTACATTTAGTTTTAGTTCCATTCAAATGCAAATTATTAACATTAAACCAATTGACTAACTTAGCTATAGCATTATTTACTTCGTCGTTCTTCGTGCTTAATTTAATAACTGTCGTTTTAATTTGAAAATTAATGAAGTATCATCAGCAAATAATACTGTATCATGGTTATCCCCTACTATGTAAGGTAAGTCATTAATATATACAAGAAACAGAAAGGGGCCGAGAATTGAGCCCTGAGGCACGCCCATTTGTACAATCGACCCGGAAGAACTCATACTATTAATAACAACTTTTTGTGTTCTGTCACTTAAATATGAAATAATTAATTTAAGAGCATCATTTCTTACACCGTAGTGTTGAAGTTTCCTGATTAATGTTTCATGGTGAACACAATCGAAGGCTTTGGATAGGTCACAGAACACACACAAAGCATCCTTTGAATTCTCCCATGCATTAAATATATATTTAATCAGCTCAACACCAGCATCAGTTGTCGAGCGACACCTTGTGAAACCAAATTGATTTTTATGAAGTAATTTATTTACATTAAAAAAATTAACAATTGATCAAGAATAATTTTTTCAAAAATTTTACTAAGTGTTGGCAGTACAGAAATAGGTCTAAAATTAGCGGGGTCCAATGTACTACCAGATTTAAATAAAGGTATTACTTTACTATGCTTCATTAAATCAGGAAACACACCAGATTTGATACTACTATTAAAAATAATAGATAGTTGAGGTGCGATTGTATCTATTATAGACGCAATAACTTTAACAGAAATCTCTTAACATCAATAGTCTTAAAATATTTTACAATATCTTTTGATGAAACTTTATGAAATGTAAAATTCTTTGTACACACATTTATATTTTGTTTAAGTAATGATTCGGCGACGGTAGGAGAAGAATTCAGTGACTTAGTGGTTAAGATCGGAATATCGGTAAAATATTTCTCAAAACCCATTGCAACGTCCTGATCTGATTTAGTTAATTTATTGTTAAAACTTAACTGGTGGTTTGAATTGCGAGAGTTGACCTTACCAGTTTCACTATTAATTATACTCCATGTCATTTTAATTTTATTAGAAGCAGTCTTTATTTTGTTGCTTAAATACAATGACTTGGCTAAGGAGCACACTCTTTTAAATATTTTGGAATATTTTTTACATATTCCCTAAATTCGACGCTAGGATTATATGACCTCTCATTGTAAAGTTCATATAACCTTTGTCTACTCTTATGGACTACTACAGTCGCCCATTCATTAAATGCTTTACGATTATTCAAGGAGAATGTTTTAGAAGTAAAAGTATTAGTAAATTCATTGCAAATAAGCTTAAATAATGTTGCATACAAAAAATTTGGATTATTTTGGTATGAAAGTAATGGAAGTTTTTTTACTATGTTACTTCTAAACTTCTCCAAGCGATGTGCATTTACTGGAACAAACACTACTTTTTTATCTACTTGCTTTTTGTGAACATAAGGTAATGAAACAAATTGTCCACAGTGATCAGAGCTTAATTTTTGAATTATACATTTATTGAACGGCTTAACATTTGTAAAAATGTTATCTATACACGTTGCACTAGATTCAGCAATACGTGTTGGCTCCAAAAATAAATTAAAAAGACCATAAGATTTAAACAATGATCTAAATTTAATATTAGTGGAGGGAGCTTCTAGGAGATTGATATTAAAGTCTTCACATATTACAACAGATTTATTCTGTTTATTAAGCTTAGCGAAAACTTCCTCCATAATTTTTTCAAAAGTATCATATAAAGAACATGGGGGTCTGTAAACGCTCACAACAATGAGGTGCTCAAACTCAACACATGCCATTTCTACAGCTCGCTCAACAGAGAGGCTCACAATATCTTTACGTTCTTTATATGATAATAATTTACTAGCTAAAATTAAGGAGCCACCTCTTAACATCGTTTTTCTATTGAAAGAACTGAGCACTTGGTGATTACTAAAGTTAAACATTAAATTATGAGCTTTTAACCAATGTTCAGTAATACATAAAATATGAATATTGTTGCTATTTAAAAACAATTCAATTTCTAGCTCTTTGCCTATCATGCCTTGTATATTCTGATGCACCAGGTGTAAACAATTTTTATTATCATTTTGTGGAGTTATACAATTGCAACTATTAAGGATTTGTAAGCTACATTCTAAATTATTTAAATTATTATAACTGCTAGAGATTACCTCTATTGTCTCATTTTCTAATTTAAATTACTTGGAACGGATTCCAAATTACATGTCAAATCATTATGCTGCTCAATAGGAGCAGATGTCTGGGTAGCCAAGTCCTTGGCTGAGTTAATATATAAATAATAAGATAGCACATTTGCTATCTGTCTTAAATTATATTTGGATAGGTAATACCTATCTGTAGTCAAAAATTTCTTAATTAAATTATTAATATCTATTAAATTTATTCTATTGGTATAATTGTTACAATTAAATGTCAAATTTAAATTATTGTTACATGATAAATTATTCATTAATAAATTTAAATCATATCTTATTTTATTCTCCTGTGGCCAACCCTGTATGTAAGGCAATGTAAACAAGATAATTTTATGTACATTTAAAGTATTGAGGTAATCAATATATTTTAATAATTGATTTTTGTTTACATTGCTTCTTTTCCCAACAAGAATTATTAATGTGCTATTAGGAGAAAACTTACTGGTTAAAACTTTATTCATTAAATGACTAAAGGATGCTCCAGGCATACAATAATTACTAATCAATTGTCCTTTTAAATGGTTATTTAACATCATGCCCAAATTTTTACCTATGTCATCACAATACATAATAACTATGTTTTTTAATATTTAAACTACTTTTTAAGTTTTTATTCTGTGTTATGGCACCGTCATAGAGTGTTGGTGAAAATAAGGAGTCATTGCTATTTACACAGTCGGATTTCGTAGTATAATTATCCTAATTGTACCATTATTTCACAGTTTGTGGTGCATAGTATCGTAATAATACTAAGCGAAAATACCATAATTTTACCTAAAGGTCAACTTGTGTTATTATTGGGTACTTTTACATTTTAATATTAACCCTACGATATCGAGAATTTCTGTATTGTACATGAGTACCGCGTTTTTTTAATAAAATTAGAATTAGCTCCCTTTCTGGTCAATCGATGAAAAAAAAACATGAAACGTCAAACGTGAGATATTTTTTTTAAATAGTATAATTTTATTTTCCATGTACAATATTTTTGAGGGTCTGAATCCAACCCTGGCCTAATCTTGGTAACGTAACTAAACTAACTGTAAAATGAAACTTTAAAAATGCGTTTATATAATAATTTAATTGCAACAAAATTAATATAAGGTTATTTACCGATGATACGATATCCCATATTTTTTTTAAAATCTTTGTATCGTAATTTTGCATTCTTTTACCACGCAACTAGACATATTTGTGACAGGCAATCTGTCAAAAAATCAAATCTGTCCTGCGCGCGCACCACTATCGACTGATTTGCGTTGGCCCTAAACTGAAATTTTAGGGCCAACGCACTGGTCTATTTTAGTTGTTCGGTCGGCCCGGTCCTTATGCTAGTAATATATAAGCCAATGTCCTAGGTTGTTTTAAAAATTGACTTTTAAAAATATAAATAGATATTGATAATGACTAGGAAATCAACGAATATTTCATTATGTTTCTGATGATTTAGTAATCTTGTAAAGTGAACAGAAACATCTACTATTTAGACACATGAAAGTGTATTTATTCGTTGTGTTTTCCAGTATATTACACACAGGGGCGTAGCTATCGCCGTATCAGCCGTATCAATGATACGGGGCCCCCGGGTTATAGGGGCCCCGAACGTGTGTAAGCAAAAATTCGTAAATTACCGTATATTGTTATCCACAATCTCACTCTAACTCTTAGGCCGTACTTCTCGAGAAAAAATCATATTACGAGGACGAAACAAAAAATTTCGGGAATCAAGGAAGTGACACAACATTACTATTTAAAACTGTATTTAT